TGAGCTCTAGATGGCCCTGCTTGTGCAGGGCGGTTGTACAAGATGACCTCCAGAGGAGTCTTCCAATCTCAAACATTCTGCAATGCTGTGAAACAACTACAGCCTCGTGTAGCACGGCACAAGTCAATCTACTGTTACCAAATGGGCTCATCTGCAGAAGCACAGGAAGTTTGTAAGCAACGTGAATAATGCAGATGTAGAATGGGCATCTAAAGAGAAAACTGGTAATTAGGAATCTAAGCATTTCAAGGAGGAATCTGACAGCCTTGTGAAAGTTAATATGTTACTAAACACAGAACTTTTTGGGACAGAACATTGAGGCTGTCATGGAACTCCTCAGGTAATTGCTGGGATTGCCTACTGAAGACTTCATGAAAGAAGAATGATCTATTATCTGCATTGACATTGTAACATATAGTACCAAGCTTCAAGGCTCGTGTCACTTGCCTTTGGTGTTCAGAAATAAATCTATTCCCCTTTGTAATATAATTTCACTTCTGGGGACTTCTAGTACCTTATGGAATAGCAATTCCCAACAGCCTGAGGGGCAGGATGGTGCAAAACTGATCTCTGAGATACTGAATTGTCATGTGGGTCTAGCTAGTTCATCCTGATCATGATAAAAGCTTAACCAACCACTGGGCAGTTCTCCCTTTAGGTCAGCAGGGAAAAGATTGTCACATCTGGTTTAATTTTTTCATTCTTTTCTGCAATGTAGATGCTTTTTAACAGACACCATTTGCCTGCTTTGTAGGATCATTAATTTTAAAACAGTAGATTAAGGCTGAGAACTAAAGTATTGGAGATGCTCTTGAGCTCTTGTGTACGTGTGTGTATAATAAAGACAATATATAAAGGCATATGTAAAATAGGATAACCACAGGCAATACGACACTGGGCAAATTTTTTTAGGTGATAACAACTGTTCTATGCATCTATTACCAAGTGTCTGAGGTTAGATACAGATGGCCCCCTTTTAGACTTTCATTCCAATGAAACAATGGGCAAGAACATTAGACTGGTGGACAAGCACAAAGATTGGTTAAAAAACATCATACATAAAAAAAAAAAAGAATAAAGCTCAGTAATCGTACTCAGAGGGTAGAGGGAAGGAAATTAATGCTTTCTAAAGAAGGTTAACTCTTTCTTGAGCTAAGGGCAACTGAGGATAGTACGGTTTATGCTGTCCTTTGAACCACATATACCAGGTCAGGCATGGTGCAGGAGCAAGCCAGGAGTATGCTAACCTGACAAGCCTGAAGGCAAAATTCTGCTTTCACTGAAAAACCTACGATTGTGTCTATGGTATAAACCTCTCTAGGTATAGCGGCGTCTGCCAAACAACTGTGGCTGAATTCAAGTTTCCTTATTGAAGAAGGAGGACTACTTCACACACTGGCAAGTGCAGGAAGGGATGTACAAATTTGTAAGCAAGTTTCACTACAGGAATCAGAAGAACCTAGGTTATCCTCCTCAAAGTCTGAACCTTTAAACACCATCTTTGATGCTTAATGCTTTATCAGTGGAGATCCAAAAATTGATTATAATCCCTTGATGCATTAAAGCCTAGCACTGGTTGAATCTTTAAACAAAGCTTCGCTGTCACCAAAGTGATCCTGAACTACTACATTCCCTAAGAATTTTGTTCAATTTATAATTAAAATGTGCACTCTATTGAAGTCCAAATAGATCTAGTGTCAACTCATAACTATTAGTATTATTAAAGTTTAGCAACATCAAACTCTCCCCAAACTGTATCTTATTATAAGTCATACAGAATATCTGAATACTGACCTTATTCACAGCTTCCACCAGCATTCTCATTTCCTTCTCAACATCACTGACAAATTTTAAATCCTTCCTGCAAGAACAGCATTCTAGGTAAATGAGGCAAGAGAGTGTACAAATATACAATATCTTAATCTTTTTAACATTATTTTCAACTGTAAGAAAATTTAAAAACTCAACTTAAGCAGAAGCAGGAGTGAGAGCACATTTCGGATTATCTATTACACTGTTTACATTTCTTAAAAGTTTGTATCTCATCACTATTACAAAAATCATTAATTATTTTCCCTTCAACTGCTGGAACCCAGAATAAAATTCTATGATACAACTCTACTGTCTGACAATACAACTCTATATTTTCAAACGGATAAAGTAGCTTTTAAAGTTGCCCTTTCAGTGTTTTTAAACTAATTGTCATTAAGGCAATTCACTTAATTAGAATACATGATTAAACACAAAAATGGGGATTGCGTAAACAGAATGAAGTTCTTTTCCAAGACAGAGGAAAAGTGCACTGACTTTGGTCTACAACTCATCTACCATAACAAATTAATAAAAACAAAAGAAGTGGTGTAAGGCTACTTGCAAGCAAACAAAATGTTCTTGATATGGGATATTAAGGATTTTTAAAAACTTTTTTTTTTTACCTTGCTTAATCACAATAGGCCAGTCTTTCACATAAGGGTGAACTTCGCACTCTATTCTTAAAAAAAAGCAGTAAACTCCAAAAGTAAGGTTGTTATTTGTTAAAGCACCATCCCCATGGGGAAAAAAGGCTACCTGAAGATTTCATATTTCAAAGCTGGTTAGTAGTAAATAACCTTATTTCTTAAAAAATAGGCACCATTCTATACACAACAGCACTTCATGAATGATGTCAGAATTCCATCAGTCAAGAATCTTTGGTAGATATCCTACCAAAGTTCTGAATGCTGAAGTGAATTTATCATCAAAAGACCAAGCGGTCCCAATCAAACATGCAAAATGGCAACACTGAGTAGCTCGGCTACTGATATGGTACAATGAAATCAGCCCATCACTGGAAAACCTTCAAGGTTTTTTAACAGTAGATGGAGATCGCATGTAGTTAGCAGAACTCCTGGGTCTTCAGTAGAGGAAAGCATTACATTGGGAGAATTACAAAAAAGGACCTGGACTTGTAGGGTAAAAAGAAAGGGCCCTCCAGACACACCTAGGCTATGAAAGACAGAGTCAGCCCATGCAGCATGAGGCTTTGGAAATAATACTACAGCAATAATCCCAAATTTAAAAACAACCACCAAAAAAACCAAAAACCAAACCAACCAACCAAACCCAATACAAAAGCCAACAACAAAAAAAGTCAACCAAACCCACTGATCCTTTCAGGATGAGCTGAACTCCAGTGAGTCAGAAAGCAAATACTATACGGAATGCCAGCTATGAACACTCATATTTCAAGGTGAAGTGACTATAGGAAGTGAGAAAAAAATGGAACCAACAATTCAATGAGAGGGTCCAGAACAACCCGATCTGTAATACTTAAAAACCTACTGAGGAACCAGCTCACAGACTGAGGGATATGTTAAAAAAAAAAAAAACCAACCCTTCAGGAGCCTATAAAAACAGAGTTATCAACAGAAAGTCACCAGTGAAATCAAACAGGTAGGAGTTCTTTCACAAATACTTAGAATGTCTCTCAGCTTCAAGAAATCAAGAGGTAGTCAGTACTGAAGTACTCAAAGAGGAAGATAAAACAGAAAGCATACTATACTGAGGACAGGGCTGGGGGGGGTGGTGGTGGCAGCAGAAGTCAACTGATTAAGAGAATGTTATTTCTCTATAGGAAAAGGTGAGATGGATTGGAGCAGATAAACTGTACAGAAACTTTTTTTTTATTGGGTTTGTGTGGTGGATAGTGAAGCAAGACCAAAATAGATTCAGTTGTTCTAAAAACTTAGAGCTTTTAAAAACTAATGTCATGCCTACAAACAGACATGCAAGAGTAAAAACTTCTGAGATGACACTTATCATTTAAGCATCTTTTAAAAAATGTGTCTGATCCCTCCTCATCATTCCAGATTGCATAGTATTTATTAGTGTGATGCTTTTGATATTGACTTTCTATTGCCTCATTTTCAGACATTTCAGTCTAGCAGCCCTCTTTGCAGTCAGCAGTGGCATATGCTTAGCTCTGCATCAATTGTTTTATTAATTCCAGTTCTTTATTTTTAAAATAAAGGCAGCAAGGCAAAAAAATAAATGAGACTGGTGGAGGGAAATAACATGAGGCTAACAGAGCATATATCAGTACTTAGCTATCACTTTTGTCTTTGTCTTGAAAAGTTTACAAGGAGCACCGAGATGGGGGTTGGTTGTGCCTGAAAGCAGTAGAGATATGAGAAGTACAGGTACTGATTCATAGTGAAAGAATGGTGACAAGTAATGTTCCCATTCTAAATCTGGCCCTGCTACAGAACAAAGCAACCAGTCAGACACTTTTTACTTTTCAGGTTCTCATTTTGGAGGTCTTGAGAAGTGCACATCACCTCCTTTGCCTCAATTACCACCTACTGCCAACGCTGGAGAGAAGAGTAAACACAGGCATTTTTAGAAGAGTAAATAGAACTATTCTGCATTCCCCATCTTGCTCTCAACACTGTTTACCTATGACACCTGTCATCATTAGAACACATACCTTGCATCTTCTTTTAAAAAGTCACTGTACTTTGGTCCAGAAGAACGGACATTAAAAGGATCAGAACGATCATCTATTTCAAGAGCCTCAGCAAGACGTCTAAATTTGAGAGTAGGAGGGAAAAACCAAAACATAACCAAACCACAACCAAACAAAAATAAACACACAAATCCCCCAGCCTCCCAAATATGTTGCCAGTAAAGATGTGGGTTACTAATAAAGATGAACAGCTTGCTAAACATACAGCCTGTACATTTGAAATGACAAATTTAGGATTTTTTCACTAGAATATTCTAGTAAGATCTTGGATCACTCAATATAGATCCCTATAGCACAGGAATCATCTCCTCTTTTATCAGTTCTCCAGGTCATGCAGGAAAGGATTTTTTCCACATCACATTAATTTTCTAAACCTGGACTACTTCTGAAAAAAAGCAAGCAAGTTCACAGCTCACCTGTTCCTCTGAAGAGCTAAGCATTCTTCATCACATTGCAACCTGAATTAAGAAGGAAAAATACGATTAGAATTACTGCTGCTACTCGTACTTTTCAAACTGTAGCTTTTTTGGTGTCATAACATTATCACAGCCTAAATAAGTAACTGTGTGAGAATAGTTTATTGTATCAGATCAGATAATACAGCTAAAACCAACTAAACAACAATCAAAGATCTTTGAGCACACAAGCCCTTCTCCAGATCTTGAACAGAACCAGCAATTAACAAAGCCATATGGAAGCTGAGAAAAACAGCTTCTGAATTAGATCTTAATATACTGGCAAATTAGATCATTTGAGAAAAAAAAATGCAGCTGATATCGGCATTGAGGGGATGTTAGGAAGGGTGGGAAATTAGCAAAGGAAGATGTGACAAGGTCATTTACTCCTACACATCAGAAAAAATTATCAGCCAGGGGAAACAGGAAAGTTAGCTATGCAGATAGAGAATTAGGATGCACCACAAAAATCAGTATTTCAGCTGAGCCCATAACTTCTACTGTCAGTAGAGTTATGAATTTCAGTCTTCTGTCTCATCTTTGAAAGCTATTTTATAATTTTAAGGTATTAAAGTGTCAGGAGAATCAAGAGTTGTCCAGAATTTCACAGTGGCAGTTACAAACTTCTGCCCCTCAGACTGCAAAAGTGAATTGATTCAATTGATACTAGTTCCCTGACTTCAAGCAAATAATTTCTACAGGGGATACCAGTTAATTTAGTGACATGTAATAGGTTCAGAGCCACACAAGTATAAGATCCAGAAGTTCTGGTGGTTTTCTCAAAGGAAGCAGAAGAAAGCTAACATACTTGCACTCTTAGATCAACCTGGTACTGTTTAAAAGTTATTTGAAGAATCATTTCCTCCTCCTCTAAAAAGAGGAATGTCATCAATTTACAGAAGCTACTCTAGCACTGACCAAATTTGTCACAAAAAAACCCAAACCCTAATGAGGAAACCAAACTAAATTATAAAATGGCTAAAGACAGGACAAGAGAGAGAAACAAAGAAAGGAAATCTCTGCACAGTTTGCATAAAATATCCTGCTATTCATTTACAATGAATTTAGCAGATTTGTGTCTTTGAAAACACTGGAGTTTGACAATAAACTAGAAATTTAAGAGTGAATATTTTAATGTGCCACCACCTCCCCCAGTATTTGGTAGACTGGGGAAGGGAGAATACTTCTGATTGTCCTGGAATAAAGGCTACCTGCCACAGTTCAGATACCATATTACGAAAGATTTGCACAAAGAAAAGTAATCTTTGTTAATTTCAACTTTTCAAGGAAAGGGCAGTATAAGACTGCCCATACAGAAAGATGTGTGTCAGTGACTACAACACAATTTATATTACAGATTGCAAAGGCTGCAAAGACACTAGTGTCTTATTTGCTCTCCTGGCAAATATACAGCCAGGAGACAGACTCGCAGCTTCAGTAGATGAAAAAATCATCCCCCTTTCTTCTACCACTGCACGTCCCCCAAATTCTAGCACTGCCAAATGGTTGTGTTTTTTAAATAGGGACTCTTTTATTTGGAGAAGGTGAAGTTGGCTTCGTATTGTTGAGTATATTTGTGCCTGATTGGCACAGTGATACAAAAAGGAACAAAGCAGCTGGGGCTCAGTGTGGGTAAAGCAGAGATTATTCTTCAGTAATTCTAGAGACGTACATTTTTGAGGATTCAATTAATTGAAACAAGGGGGTAGGCTAAAAAAACTTAATTACTGTTTCCTCTCTGCGTCTTTCTTATACCATGCTTCTATAGTACCAACACCACACCCTTCAAAGTTGCATGCAGGAATCAGTATGACTCTCCCTCTTTCACCTTGTTTTTTCCCCCAATTTCTTCTGAAGTGTGACACCAGCCCAACTACAATGAAGCTGGAGACTGGAATGAGCAGGTGCTCCCAAGTGAGTGACTTTACACAATATAATGGAATATGCGATTTTAACACACACAACAGACTGACTCTAAAATAATCAAATTCACAATTAAGAGAGGAGAGATGGTAAGATAAAATAAACTAAAAAATAGAAATTAGAGATTTCAAGGGCAAAGACTTCAGGAGGTCAAGTTTCTGACAAAAGGATGTTGGAGAAACTTGGCAATTCCTTAAAGAAATGATACTAAAAGTAAAAAGACAAGCTATTCCAATTTGGAGGAACAACAGGAGGAACAGTAAATCACCAAACTTAAGTCACAACCAATTTTGTGACTTAAAAGCAGATTTGCGGTGCCAGACAGTATGAGAACACAGAAGTTCCAATCAAATTGAGATATAAATGTAAGAAATCTAAAAAGGGTAACAGGAAAAATTTATAAATAGTAGGATGATGACTAGAGGAAAATATGCCCTATTAATGATCCAGGAATGAATGCTGTATGCTGAAAGGGAATATAATAGCAGAAAGTTATATTATCTAGAAATCTGAAAAAAATCCAGAGGAACTGCAAGTAGCTTGCTGGGTAGACACAAACTCTGAAACCACAATTATATTGTTCTATACATTATTATAACAAGAAACCAGGCAATGATAGAGAACTCATTCTACACGAAAGCAAAAACATGAACTGCTAAGGAAGCGCAAAATACTCTTTTAGCAGTATTGTAACAGTAGAGTCAGGCTATTTAAATTCTTATTTTCTTATTTTAGCTGGGGTTTTGCTGACAGTATTATGAATCCTCCACATTGCCTACATTTCAGGTACACACAAGAGTTTCAAATATGTTTTTACATGTTTGTAGGCCTTACCTGGCCTGCTTCATTTCTTTTTTCGTAATGAGCCTACTGATTTCCACTGAATCCCCAAGCTGTAGATCTGTTAACTTCGTGGCTATAGATATAGCAGCTATTCTGAAAAAAGAAGAGCATTACATTTCATTTGAGGCAACACATAAACCTCTGAAAAGGTGTATAAAGCTGCAATTTTAACCTCCAGGTAGAAGAACTAAGACAGACTGACCATTTCCTCATCAGATTGCAGAAGGGGGGTCTAGTTCCACACCACGTAGTTTTAAGATTCTAACCTAGCTACATAAATTAAGATGTTACTCTCTCTCATCTCCCTCAAGCAACCAGGAGCAAGACTAACAAATGAACATCCTTCTTCAGGGAATTTTTCAGAGCATCAATTCTAAGCAAGTCTAAACTAGGCAATGTGTAGTCTTTCTTCTCACCTACTTAATATTCAAACTACAGCTGATTGTATAGCTTTAATTGCCTTTTTAACTTATGTGATTCTTCCTTAACTGTGTGCAATTAAAAACTGTAAAGTGAATTTATAAAGTATTTAGAAATTTGCTTAGAAAATATGGAAGATACAAGCCATAAAGGAAAGAGAAAAATGTCTACTGAGACTTACAATTTTCTTTATAAAGATTCTTCACCATTCCCTTCAATAACAAGCCTTCCCAGTCTGATTTTCTTGCTAAATTTTCTAACTAAAATATACAGCAAGATTTTAGTAAAATATCCCACACCATTCTCAGACAAAATCCTGAAAATGGAACTTCCCAGCCTCTGAATCATCTTTTCTGTTAAATTCAGATAAAAGGATATTTTTGTCTCTACATGTTTTGGATCACATTCAGAGAACTCATCATCTATCAGGAAGGAGGATAATCATATCCCATAAAACCAAGAAGCGCTGAGAGGCACCGTCAGCTTCACATTTATCAGGTGGTGACAAAGTCATGTAAAGATATAGCAGCACACTCCTTTTTCCTGTTCCCCTGGGCATTCTTTCACTGACATTCACTGACAAAGTTCAAAGCTGTTTCATCACTCCTGTAACATTTTTGAGAAAACTTAGATATCCTGTTAACTTACTGACCTTTCCACAGTAGTACTACAAGACTTACTTTATTGTGTTTGGGTTTTGGTTTGGTTTTTTTTGTTGTTTGGTTTTTTTTCTCCCCAAGTGTGTAGATGGTGGGGACGAAAGCCAAACCGAACCCCCACAACATCAGAATATTTTAACCTTTCAGCAACTGAACAGCTGGAGTTATCATACAAACTTAGTTGGCATTAAATGCTGCTTTTGTTAATGTCACATGGGCCAAGAGTAATTTGTAAACACCTGAAGGAACAGATACAAACACTTGCTTTAAACTGATAGTTTCTTTCCCTTCCTCTTGAGTGGGCTCTGATTAGATAAATAAATACATATGCATTTATGCATACAAGGACTCTTAATAACTTCAAAGAACCATTTTCCTTGTATGAATACTTTTGCTGTGCCTGAGCTACTGAAACAGTGGAGAAATAACAGCCTTCAAAAATTTGGACTTGTAATTACGTTACCTTCCCAGCTTATCATTAATGACAAGCATGTGTCAATTTAAACTACTATTTCATAGTTGAGTCAATCTTCTGATTTGTATCCATACTGAGATAGATGCTAAGCCATCATCTGTCAGAATTCGAATCTGGGGCAGTGTTCAGTAGGAACAGAGCAGCTTATCCTAAGCTGGGCCAGTATCAGACCCTCAAATAGCAGTTCCAAAGAAAACAATTATTAGGAAGCTTTCTTTGAAAGACCAGAAGAGTCTGTGACTGTGCTCTCCTATCAACTGGGATGTAGAGAAGAACTCTGGCTGCAGATCAACTCTCTAGATTAATTTTTTTATTCCCTCTCAATCACAGCCTCAGAGTAAGATATTATTATTATTTATTGTTTTGCTATTTTCATTTCAAAAGTTCCAAAGCCCTACTTTTCTTCTTTTCCATGTTCCTTCCTTGCCCTCTCTCATAATGGAGAAAGAGAAGTAAGTTTAGGAACAGGCTCTGGAGACAAATCTATTGCCATAAATGGAGTTGGGTATGACCCAGTTTGCATATTAAGAACCTCTCCATCCAGGAGCCCGAATCTGGACCTGCTCAATTAGTCTGTATCTAATTGCTCTGTGTGAGCAGAACACAGTTCTACAGATGGGAGATTCAAGCTTTGACACACCACCAGAGTTACAGACTAACAACAGTGAAAAGAGGAATGCATTCTAGTACAGCACAGCTGGTATGAAAGCTCAGAGGAATACAACAAAGAAACCATATGTGAAAATATAAAAAAAGTGTGAAAAAGCTTGGGAATTAAATATATTTAGTGAAACCCGAAATTTAATCAAACTGCAAAGAAATAAGTCCAGTAAGAAATTAAAAGATTAATTACAGTACAAACCTTTGATATGTATTAGATGCCTCCGAACAAATCATACTCTCCTTTCTTCTTCCACATTCACATTGAAGATCAACCTGTTGTATCACACAAGAGAGCAGCTTTTTTAAACTTTTGTCTTTTTATGGCCATGCAGCATTGTGAAGGAGGTAAATTTATTCCTCTAAAAAGTCGCATTTTAGTGGAATAATGGCTAACTAAAAGTGATTTTTTTTTTTTTTTAAATTCAGTATTATAAGTTTACAGCAAAAACGTCATGCTACCAAGATAAGGAGATGTCATTTTTGTCACAACGGTCACTGGCTGATAATTAAACCATACAATTTGCCTGTGAATTTGCAGTGAATTTTCTTTGGATATCTAACCTTTGCACAGCAGGATGTTGTTGGGCAGGGTGAAGATGGATGACATGGAGCCATACAGGGATGATTACAATATAGCCTTGGAATAACACATGGTTGTTTACACTCTTCATCTATAAGACACTCTCCTTTATGACAAATTCTTTTACATTTGTGCATTCCACATTTTAACATTTGATTGCAGCGTAGTCCACAGGAAATGTCAGTGAGATGACAAGGAATATTACTTCGCAGCTGGAAGAGGGAAAGAAAAAGATGACAACTAAAAATGAAAAATGCAAATTTCAAAGTACTTTTACTGTTCACACCATCATTTGGCACTGTCCACAGAAGAACCGTAATACTAAAATATCTTAGGACAAAGACTGAATTTTTCTTTATATCATAATCCAATACAGCAGTTGATCTGAATGCATTTGGTATAAAAGGTATGTTTTTCTAATTTAATCACTCAAACACAATAAACTCAAACTCCTGTAACAAATTCCATTCCAAAGAGGCCATAAAAATCTAAGCCTACAGTCCTATAATTATTTAGTATTAAAAAAAAAATAGTATTCAAAACCATTTAGTGTCCAGACTTACTTCATGTTTGCCCATACACCATTTCTGAGTGAGATAGGTACAGGGTGGACATTTCTCCTCACTGTGACATGAGTGGTAAACTGCAGTCGCAGAAATATAAAAGCCAGCACAGTTTTATTAGCATACTTCAGTCAAATGCATTAAAGGCAGCCAAGACTATTAAACAATAAGTTTGCATTTCAGAACCACACAATTTATGGGAAGTACGATACTTCATGCAAGGATTATCTGTTCTTTAAAGTACTCTGATGGCAGGTTTTTAGATTAATATTCTTCCATATTTTCTAAATTAAATAGCAGAGAATTTTGTAACTTCTGAGCAGGGTTATACTACGAGACAGAATTTGTCAGAAAGCATTTGTTTGACTTGTGCTATATTTTTTTGTGATCAGCCAATGTAATTCCAAGGAATGTAGAAACTAACTGTTCACTAGATTATCCTACTGTTTCAATAGAGCACTTAATCTGTGGAAGATAGCATTTGATGTGTTTTGCGACTATTACTAACGAACAGAAAAAAATCCAATGCTTTTACCAGTCAGAAGTACTGTTACTAGTATTCATGGCAAGATTTTAGTTGGTTGGTTTTTAAGCATAGACTTTTAGAAATATTCACAACTACTGAAAAACCTTCTAATAAAAAAGCAAATATATTTTCAAACAGACTTATGTACACTTTTGTACATTTTGATTAAACAAAACAAAAGACCCAGGCAAAATGGAATGGCCTGACTTACCTGGATGATCACAGTCATGTGGCCTGGTGCATGTTTTTTTACACTCTGGTGGCTGAGTACCACAGGGCACAGGGGGGTAAATCACAGATTCACCACAATAACAAGTTAACTCATCAAAACCTGAAAAAAACAAGTAACAAGTCAAATATATCCCAATGGCTACATGTATTTGCACTTCTGTGCTATGAGAAATCCGTAAATAATGGGAAATCTGTAAAAGGCTGCCAGTCTGTAGATTTCTTCCTATAATTTCTTCTGTATACTTCTTTACATCATTTAGTATTACACAGATCCTCAAACACCTTATAAGCCTGTCCAAATACTTCAAAGCCGACTTTGTATGTTTTGGAAGTTCTCCGTTTCAGGCAATATACAGTAAACTCCTATCACAAGACTTCAAATCTCAGTAATAAAATAAACAAAGGAACAGAAACAGTTACATACACCATCCCAACTAAAACTAAACACTCTACAAAAATAAATACAGTTCACGGGTGTTTTTCAGGCTATAAAGCAACTTGGAAAGAGACTGACTGCAATGCAAGCTACAATTCAAACAGATAAATCCTTAGAAAAACAGGACATTAAGAGAAAATGTTAATATCAGAAGTCCTACAGAAGCAGACCTGAGAACAAAAAGAGAATGATTGTTCTGTAAATGAATAAAGAGAGAGTGGATCAGGAAGAACAGGGGAGAATGTAGGAGGAGGTAAGAGAATAATGAGGCAATAAAAACACAAAACAACAATTCCAACCTAAACAGAAGATAAGTGTGTTAAGGGAGCTGCTGAATTCTGTGAGTTCTCTGACTCTGGGAATCACAGGGTTCCTCCTTTCTGAGTCTACCAAGCAAAATCAGTTAAACTCTAAAACCCCAAAGGTTCCTACTGTTCCATGGATATGGTGGCTACCGGATCAATACCAGGTCCAGCCAGCAGCCAGACTGAACACATACTCCAGAGAGACAAGACACACAATAGGTACATAACAATAACATGACTGGACACACAGATGCCTAACATCCATACCTTATTACCCAGTCACTGCCTGAAACTCTGGCTATTTCCAGAGGCACATCTCCTCCCACTAGCCAGTCAGTCCAGCTTTCAACCAAGTTCATTAGCAAATTACCCAGACATACACAGGCACACACAGGACTGCAATCAACAAGGGAATAGCAGACACCCCCTGGTGTCTCCAGGTGCTGGCAACCACACCAAGGAGCTATGTTGTTCCTTAACTAGCACTAGTCCAGACAATGGGGAGGGAGTGCAGAGATGTATTTCTACTCTTTGGATGAGACATCTGACAACTAAAAAAAAATTTAAAAAAGCAGCTGTGTAATGCTGACATCATTTTTCCCCAAGAGATGTACTGCTCTCTTGAATGTCTTGAAGTAGACTGGTATGTCCATAAAGAGACCCTAGCATAGAAAGGGATCTCACCTCTCAGCACTGAGGAAATGACACTGGAAAGGTAAAGTACCTGGGAAGCACACAGAACCACAGAGGTGTAGATGCACTCTAGGATTGCATTTTGATGCCAGCCCTCACCGTTCCCAGCAAAACCAGTAGTGGAGATGGAGGCAAGGGCAAGAAATCCAATCTAATGAGTGGCAATGGGCTTGCACCTGACTGTGCCATGGCACATGATACCTTGGCTGATGCAGCCCAACTGCAAAGTGGTGGCTTCCCAGTCAACTAAAGGCTCTGCTAACAGAAGGAAACAGAGAAGCATTCTTCTGTCTTCTTCAGGCCAAAAATCAGAAAATTTAGTATTACCTACCTATTATAATGGTACAAAATAATCAACATATGATCCTCTACACCAAGTAGAAAAAGCAGTTGTAGAAAACTGTATATTCAACTGGCACAGCTTTTAATAGAGTACAAACCCGTCCAATGCTACTGCACCAGCTTAAACCTTTAAACAGTTCTGCCATCCTAAGAAAATTCATACCTGCTGGCTGTCAATCTATTTCTAGCAATTCAGTACTAATTTACACCACCTAGAACGTGACCAGAGAGCTTAAGACACACACGACTGATGTGTTATTTCTTCAGATGGTCCTGTCTAGAGAAAAATCACTAGTGTACCAAGTTGGGAAAGTCTGAATTCTAAGCAGCTAGACAAATTCTGCTACATACTTCAATATCTTTAACAGTTATTACATTGTTAAACAAGAGTTTCATTAACTTAGAAATTATCTTTCTAAACTACTTCTTTTTCCTTGCATGATTCCTCAATTTTTTGCAGTGATTGCTGGATCCATATACATAACTGAATATATTTCACTGTAATTCTACTTTAACTATTGAAATCCAACACTTAGTAAACTCATCTAAAGTGAAATAATTTCCTCTTTCACGAAAAAACATACAATTAAAATCAACTGCATATTCTTCAGGTTCTGGTCAATTTGGATCATACTCTCCGTCCAACTCTAACCAGGTAAGTCAAGAAATTTCTATAATATATAAGAAATAATGTACTTTTGTACATAACTCACTCGTTTGCCAGCACGTTTGACAACTGCCCCGATGGCAGGGTTCTTCACATCTATGAAGCCCACAGTTGAGTTTACGACCACAAACCAAAGAACATTTATGTTCTGTGTCCTAGGGCAAGGCAAACAAGAAAAGCAGAATTAAACTATAAACCCCATTGGTTTATTTTTCTCTGTGAGGTCATAATCTAGTAATTGACAAAACTGTACAGTGCAAAAAACAGCTTAGGCCTGATCTATACAGTTTTTCCATCATTACAGGGACACAAAATTTTAAAAGCTGTTTCTGTTAAGACCTCTATTGCAGACGTAGGTACATCATAGCTTACACTTCTTGTATTAAATAATATCCTTCCCCTCCTCATTCTCCCTGGATTCACTGCATCACTGATTCACTGAGAAAAAAGCACCTTTACACTCATTAATTGAATTTAGGCTGAAATGTAGTTTTACATTTATAATGAAACCCATAAAACAAATGCTGCAAAATAAAGGCACAGACAAAAACTTTTTGAGCATGACCAATACTGCAAATAGAGACTGAAGATGCACAAAAATGGAAAGACACAAAAGCAAAAAGGTCTTTTAACACCAAAACCAAATACACACTACAATGAACAATTTCATGAAACCAAACAAACTTACCACACAGCAAACTTCATTACACTTGTGTCGTCCACATGATCTTTTCTTGTTGCATCTTTTGTCACACATGAATGTAATAGCAGCTATTAAAAACAAAACAAAAAAAGCCCCAAAAGAGTCATAAGTTTCATGTCTTTGCTTGCTCAAGTTGACCCAAAGATATGCAGGATGCCAGGGGGAAACAGATGGAAGATGGCAGGTGGCATCAGATGTTGTTCAAATTGAAACAGACAGCTTGTCTGGAATCTTCGAGATCAAATGCTGAAGAAATCTTTTCTTATGTAAAAGATGGATATAAAGGAAAGAGATTTATTTCAAACCCCTTCCCAAAAGCTTAAGTAGCAGCATCTCAAGAAATTACCAACTTGGCATGGAAGTACGGTTAAAAGAAGCAGTACTGATCAGATGTTTGCCAACTTTGTCAAGCAAACCCACAATTAATGATCTGTGTATAACTTTTAAAGAAAATTCACATTATAGATGTAACATAACATTGTACCTTTATTTCTGAGAAGAGCACATGGGACCTCCTAGGAAACAAACAGGGAGCTGGTTAAAACAGATGAAACAACTGAAACTTGCTTCTCTAGAAAACACCTTATCACACAATACAGAAGGTAACAGCACACTCAGTTTTCATGTGTATAACAGCTCTGTATACAGAAGTGAAACAAAAGCTGGGAAAAAATCCTCAAATCTTTTAACACAATATTTTTTCCTTAGAGATACAACACCAATTTCAAAAAAATGCAGTTTTGTATTCCCCACTTAATTCAGCAGGTAATATTGGGAAGCAACAGAAACAGATTTGTCCTAAGAAACCAGAAACTTGCACAGAGGAAACCAAAAGAGCTCTCCCAGAGAATATTGACATAGTGCATAACTTTGTGCTTTGACCAACTGTCCCAAAAATGCAAGTCTGAGTTGATAAAAAACAAAACAAAACAAAAACAAAACAACAAAACAAGAAAACAAGAGAGCACAAAGTCAAATTTCATGATCAAAGAAGTTTTACTTAAAGACTTCAACATGAAAGTAACAGGTGATGGATGAAAAGAACATTGTTGATCAACTATATGTAAACCTTCAGTCATCACAACCTTACACTATGAGTTGTCACTTCTGAGCATCACATTTTTCATGACTGATTTAAATCATCACTGTAGTTCACTCACTCTTTTTCCAAGAAGCAGCTTTCTGGTGCCTGAGAAGCTGCATAAACTAAAAACCCAAACCTCACTACTTTGTTTCAGGCCTCAAAATAAAAAGCCTTCTACCCCATAACTACCCTCAGCAACCCTGCAGGAGAAAACTGTTCCATCCTCAATCCAAGTCTTAGTCATTTCTATGTACTTATAGACATCTCTACTTATAGATAGTATGTACCAAGTCAGAAAAGTCATCAAGGCACCTGTGATAGTGGCCAAAGATCGCAAACCAATGATTACAAGAAGTAGCATCGTTTAAAGAAATATTATATAACAATTGACAAGGATCTGCTGGGTCCCTATATAAACATACAAAGAATGGGGAGCTGTAAAAACTTAATATTCTCTCAAAAAAATTCTACAACAAATCTACAAGCTATTACTATAAAGTTCTAGTTAGCTTGTTATGTTAGGTTACCTTTCTTCTCTCAGTTTACATTACTCTTGTCAAAACTACCATTCTTTGTGCTACATAAATACTGCATGACAATACAGGACTTTGCAGCCAGCTTAAACAAACAGAATTCTGTGTAAACTCTGTAAAAATACTTGAAAAATTGCCAACATCGTAAGTAGCCTATGTTGGACTTCACAGTATAACCTAGTTAGCATCTGTCAGTTAGTAGACAATGCAGGTTCTTGCAACTAAGGAGCACAGCACCTCTTTTACTTTCTTTTCCTCAACTACTTCAGCTCTGTTTTCTCCACAGCTTTAAAAAACAAAGATTACCTGTTACCATAGTCAAGCTTTTTACACTCACCTTTTTTTTGAAGCCACACCTACAATAAATATTTGATGTGTGAGAACACGGTCTACAGTCTCCTTCATGGCAAAGGCTTTCACATGTATGAATAAACTCTAGTAAAATCAAAATACAAAGATTAACAATTAATAAAAAAATAAAATCAATTAACCAGAACTTCATATTTATTAGGAGCATCACTGGTCAAAGATACTAAACTTATGTGCAGCTGGGTTTCCAAACAAATTAACTATTTTGAATTAAGTGTGTGTAAAATTTTGCCATTATTTTCAACTTTTTAATCCTGACTATATAAACTAGTGTTTCAGGTCTACAATTACAGTGTAAATGCACACATTTTAAATATTTTTTTTACATTAACATATGGAAAAAAAAAGATTTTGTGTGATACTATCTTACCCAAGTTTCAAGAATTTTAAGTAATTTTTCCTTCCTTTTCAGCCCAAAAGGACTTGCTATGCATATGTTCACATTTCACTTAATAGTTTAACTGAAATTCAACTAAAAGCAAAATTACTCATTCCCTTTCTACTTGTTGTCCTTGGACTGACCGAATGGATCAGTCATTAATAAGAAGCCCTCATCTCAACAGCATTGGCCCCTCTCCACTCTAAAGTCTAAGAAATCACCATTAAATATGTAGTCTGTAAAACTCGAGCTTCACACACTGTCACAGTTAAATACACTTGAGTTACCTACTGCACTCATTTAAGTATCAAATTGCTTCTGCACATAACTTCCTCCAACTTTGCAACGCTACCTTTTACTTTATGACCTTCCTACAGCAGCAGGAAACAAGTATTTACTGGAGGCACCTGAACATCATTTACATCTACCAGTTTCCACATGAAAGTCAAAATAGCTAGGTGGGCTTTTAAAAGACATCAGTACAGATTACTCTCTGGAAATTCCTACAGCTGTGTTCCTCTACCAATGTAAGACAGGTGCATGTAAACAAAATTTAAAAGCTAGCTAGTGTTAGCACTATCTAAACAAATCTATTTCCTGATTTTAAGGTATTGTTATTAACAAACAGCCAGACTGCAGGCTCTGCAGTAGCTTTTGCACTGAGTTCAGTTAATACCCAGAATCACTAATCAAATATTTATTTTTTTGTAATGAGCCAGTTAAGCACTACTTTTTTTTTTTTTAAACAATGAGATAATTTGAATACTCTGATGCAAAAACTTCTAATTACCATAGCTACCACAAGAAAGAGGTTTGCCACATGTTTTTCCACATGATGGGATAGGATCTGTGCATATTTTACGTTCAACACATCCTAGTTCCAGTAACTTGCTGAGAGGAGTCTGACCGCAGGGACAGCGATACACTACTTGTGGAAGTCGTGGGCAGAGCTGGCAAGGCTGGGGATGGCATATTTGCGTACAGTTGTGCCTCCCACAATTTAATTTTCTGGAAAAAAAACAAAGCCAAAGAAACAAACAAACAAAAAAAAACAACAAAAGGGGGAATTATCCAAAAGTACCATGATCACTGAGTGTGAATAAAATGGTCTTTTTCTCTTCAAAGGCCTAAATTATAGTGACCTTACTTGCCACATATCTTCTGACATGAGAAACTTCCAAAACCATCAAATAATTCTTCCTTTGTCCCACACAATATTTCTTTAAAGTCGTTTCCACAGTAACACACTGAAAGAAAGCAATATTCCACAGAAAACACAAGAGAATATCAGTGACAAAACACCTCCAGGGGTACATCAAAGAACATAGATAAGAAGAAAAAAATTGTTACAATAATTAAGTTCCTCTTCTTTAGTTTTATTTCAGCAATAGAGGTTTCTCAGTCCTACAGAAGCTGGAAGTCCTGCTTTATTTGTTTTGATAAGGAGATAAAAACTAAAGGGGAAGTACTATTCGCATTACTTATTAAAGCAATATACATAACAAGTTAATTATTACCTGAAAAGTTTTGAAAATTTTAACAGAAACTGTGTTATGGTTTTGAACCCTGGCTAGCAGCAAAACACCACACATCTGCTCACTCATCCTGCCCCCTCCCAAGGATGGGGGAGACAATTAATGGGGTAAAAGGGAAAAGAGACTCACGGGTTGAGATAAGAACAATTTAATAACTAAATTACAATAAAATTGAAAATAGTAATAATAATAATAATTACAGTAGTAATATACACAAATATATAAATGAGTGATACACAGTGAAACTGCTCACCACCCAATGACCAAGGCTCAGCCCGGTACCAGCTAACGATCCCAGAGCAGAGAGAGTCCCGGAAAAGAGATAAGAAACCAAGCATCCAAGAGAGAGAGACCAAGAGAGAGAGAAGACCCCAAGAGAGAGCAAGAACTTCTGGACAGTGTCTCATCAACATACTGGGCATGACACATATGATATGGAATAGACCATTGGCCAATTTGGGTCTCAGTGATAAACCTAAGGTCAAATCCTAGACTAGTAGTTGGGGCTGTGCTCCCTCCCAGCTTCTCCTGCACCTGCAGACACTGTCACAGCAGAGAAACTGAAAAGTCCCTGACTGTCCTGGCAACAACTGTAAACATCAGTACGTTATCGGCTTTCTTCTCAGCACAAATCCAAAACATAGCCTCACACTAGCTACTATGAAGACAACTCCGTCCCAGCTGAAACCAGGACAAACCATGAGTAGTTTGTTGAAATGTGCTTTCCTTTCTCTTCTTCTTCAATGTACCGTTTAATCAAGTTTCAGAATTAAGGTAAAAGATTAAGTAGGATCATAGGCCAATCCAGGTCAGAAGGGCCCTTAGGGTCTCAGCTAGTCCAAGCCCTTACTTAAAGCAGAGTCAGCAATGAGATCAGACCACATTACTCAGTGTTTTATTCAGTTGGGTCTTGAAAACCTCCAAGTTTCCCAGAAAAGAGTTTTTCCTTATAGCTAGTTACAAGATTTCAACTTGGACTCTCATCCTCCCCCCATGCACAGCTTGTCTGTGTCTTCCTGCTTACCTCCTATTAGCTACTGAAAGACCACTACTCAGCCTTCTCAAGCTAATGAAGACCAGTACAACCAGCTTGTCCTAATATGGCACATGCTGCAACAGCCTAATGATCTTGGCATGATTCTTTCTAGGCATTTTTATATTCTTATTTAAATATTTAGTGATGCTGACACATTTTCCATGTTTAAAATCTTCTAGCAATAGATTTTAGTTTTGTTAAGTAAAAATAAAGCACATGCCTCTTGGGTTTTTTTCAACCTCTTGTTTTCATAATGTAGAGTGGATACACATAAGGCATTCCAGTACTTACCTTGTTGTACTGTTAATTGGCAAGGTGAACATTTTCCTGCATGGCACACTTGAGTACAGCTGTGCTTACCACAGTTTAAAGTATTTCCACACACATTAGAACAACGAATTTTTGTTGATTGGCCACAGCGAACGGAATGACTGTAGAGAAATGACACCATAGTCTGTCAGCTACCTTAATATCTGTAGAGCACTTATTAAAAAGGAAAATACTTTTTCAGTAAAATGCCAAAGCCTTTGAAAGGGAGCACAACTCATTAATGAAGTTTTTAGGAAATAACCCTCCTATTTTTCCCCCTGCTTCCCCTCTTCTGCCCCCATAAACAAGGTACTTACCACAGTAGTGAGTCTACAGAATTTTCTCTCAACAAAATAGAAAAAAAAGTGACACTGTAACTTAAACCTAATCTATGGTTATGCATCATGCCAAAAGAGCAAGTATTTCTGTTACAGACATCTTTCCAAAGACTTAAATGATCCTAAGTCCACTGAGCACAATGAAGACAGGGATGTGGGCCTTAATAGTGAGTCAGTAGTCTATGGAAAGAGTTGGGGTTTTTTTAATGTAATTGTTAAAAAAATGGGTCAGAACAATAAATTATCCTCTTTTTCCATTCTGGTTGGCCTCGTACAATGGCTGTCAAAGGTACATTTGAAATAGTAACTTAAAAACATCTTAAAAGTCAAAGGCATCATACCATACATCTTGGATGCTAATAGAGTACATATGAAAAAAATCTAAGTTCTAAGTATGAAATGCAGTACAAAAATCAGCAATCTGGTGACTGGGGAAAAAAATAATAAACCAAATTTGGTTGCATCTACTAAACTTCTAAATGCAAGGAATAGCTAGAATAAAAAAAAAAGGAGATGAACTTACTAGGTAAAATAAAATTCAATAATCTACAACAAATCAATTTTTCTACTGAAGACAAAGTTCTTTCAACCACAAATATTGCCAAAGAAATAGCTGTACCTTCTTTTGAAAAATTAAGATCACTTAATATTACATTCAAACTTTCAGAAATAATTGTAAAAGTCTGAAACCTTTTTTCTAGAGCAAGAATGCTAACACTGAGATGGTTTTTTGTTTGGTTTGCTTCTGGAAATGAGCACAGGCAAACATTTTATGATACTGAGTCAGGTCTTGGTAACTAAAACATGGACTCTAAAGACTCAGAGCAACTGAATATGAGATCACAGATAGCATGGGCAGTACTCTCCTGCTGTTGGCAATGACACCATAAGCATCAAATATGTAAGGAAAAGACAACCTTCAAGTCTGGAATTTACTACAAACTTCTCTCCTGACAGTGGTACAGCTTCCCAGAAAGGTACATACTATTTTTGAAAGTATTATTTCTGGAATGGAGTAACTCATCATTACATTCCATTCAGACAGAAAAGGTGTGAACCTTTCTCTACTTCTTTCTCTGTGTCTTCTACAAAATAAAACAAACACATACCAGAATAGGATTTCAAAATCAAATTAACTCACAGACTGCATGGACAATTCAGCTACATGTACTGTAAATTACAACAGTAATTTACAGACAACTCTTCTTAAATTATTTTTATTTTTTCTTAAACAATTAAAAGTAATGGCATTGTTTTAAAATATAAAATTGTCCAAGTTATTTCAGTTGCAGCTCAGAATAAAAACTTTATTCTGTAAACTTTTAATAAACTAGAAGAAAGAAAAATTTCATTATTATATAAACTTCTGTTTGTATAACAGAAGCATTCTCACCTTGTTTGTCCACATTCACATGTTTTTGTCACAAAGGCTGGGCACGAAGGGCAAGGTCCTGGATGGCACAGGCTTAAAAGTAAGTCAAAAAAGCAAACAATATTATAAAGTTAACTTTACAATTTCTTTACAAAGCTTTACTACACTTCCAGAGAAACAATCCACCATGACCCAAGTCACTATGCAAGCCACTGCAGGGTACGAAAGCATTATTAGCACAAGAAAAAAATATTAATTATTAGAGTTCCATCACTCTCAAATGCCACTGATGTTGAAGGAAAA